TCAATTGCGTCAACACGAAATTTCGTAAACCGAACGTTCATAAATCAAGGGATACTTGTATATAATCTATTGTATAGTAGTGCAGTATATAATGTAGTGGAGTGTACAGTAATGTAGAATATTATGTCGTGCAGTATACAGTTGTGTAGTATAAAATATAGTGTAGATTATGTATTGTTGTGTATTGTAGTATAGAGTGTAATGTAGTGTAGTATATAATATGGTTTAGTGTACAGAAATGTAGAATATAATGTTGTATAGTGTATAGTTGTGTAGAGCAGTGTAGTATATAATGTATCTCTCTGTACAGGATCCACCCACGCTACAAGGAGAAGGTTGCCTCCCGTCTGCTGCTGGGTGCGATGGCCGTTGCCTACAATGACAGTTCCTCCATATTCCAGGGGCCCTTCCCAGAATCGGCCACTGTGAACCTCACAACCCAGACGCTTGTCATCAGATATGGACAGACGCTGAGCCACCGCAATGGCGGGTGGGGCGAATTTCAGGTCAGAGGTCATGTTCCATGATGCCATACGATACAATATCAATTATAGCATTATCAGTTTCCGATACCTTTGTTTTCATGTATCACTATATTTTGAATTTAATTATTTGTGTACTTTTCTCTACTTCCAGTACGAATACAGATTGTCTATTGTTCAACTGCAGTTCACTCCACATTATCCTGCTACGCGTTTTCTCATCATTGTATAATCATAATCTCTCCTCTTTCTCTCTCCTCTACTCTCCCTCCACCCATCTCCTCTCTGAACCACTACCCTCTTTTCCCCTCCCCTTCCCTCCTCTCCCCCTTCTCTCCCCCTTCTCTCTCATCTCTTCTTCATCACAGATCTGCTGTTCCAAAGTCCTCGGTCAGTGTCTCGACCGAGATTGGCACCAAGCCCCAATCCTCTCTGTACAAGCCCAGAGTGTCTTCCTCAACATCTCCACCTGCATCAACACCAGCAGGCCCGTGACGTCCGTCCGTTACGCTTGGTCCAACTGGCCGTGCGAACTCCACGCATGTGCTCTCTATGGAGTGGGGCCCACCGCACTACCAGCACCCCCCTTCATAAAGGCCGTGCCGTTGGCGTCGGAGGGGGTTTACATCGGCAGTATCGGGGGGGTTCCTAACGGCTGTGTTGATGGGGCCCATAATGGCCATGTTGGGGGGCTAATAATGGCCGCATTGGTGGGGTTCACAATGGTCATGTCGGTGGGTTTATGCCATGGCATCTAAGCTGTCCCTCCTCCGGTGGAGTTTGCGGGACCCCAGCTTGGGTCACCACCTTTCTCAGAGACCAAGACTGTAATACATATTGCTAGGTCAACACTACAGAGTATACCAGAATTAAATTCCACAATACCAGGACCAAATCTAAAAGGGAAATTTGTGATTGTGTGTCTTTTCAAAATGTTTAGCGTACTTTCCAACATGCAACAAACTTGAAATTTGCCATGTGGGTACTTTCTAGACTGTACTCCATGCAAAAAATTGTTAAATACACTTTTGTATTTTTTTTTGGGGGGGGGGGTCAATAATGCATATATTTTTTGCACGGCAAGTGAGCAGCAGTGACGTCACATCTGGCATGTGACCCGTGTGCGGAAGCGAAACAGTGTGCCTGCTGATCGCGGGTAAAGTGAAATACAAATGTGTTGCAGGTCTAAGCCGTTCTTCGCGCAGCATTGCTTTATTATTTCAGTCATTTACTGCCGTACGCACCCTGAAAGTTGTGTGTCTGCAGCAAGCGCGTGTATGTGTACCTATGGTTAGCGCGCTGCGCTACGAACCCGGCGACCCGAGTTCGATTCCCGCTCACGGCCACCACCGGTGATGATTATTTTAACCGGTCCTGGGCATCCCCTAGGTCGACTCAGCCTCAAACGAGTAACTGGTGTGGTGTGTCAACATCACCACTGGGAAGACAAAGGCGGTCGGGAGTGGTGAATCCAAGTCCCGGTCGAAGCCGGGTCGTAAAGCTAGTGTCAGTATAAATAAATTCCTGTCGCCCGAACACATGCCAATATCCAGACATGTGGCAACTCTGTTAGGTGCGTGAGTGGGCAAGCAGTTTGTGGTTTACTGATTTGGTAAATAAATGAGTAGGTGGATGGCTGAGTGTGTAGCAGGTTTCATCCCCTTCCACAGATCACAACCAGAAATATTTATAACCAATACCCATAATCTTAAACCCTAACCCTCTAACCCAACCCATCCCTAACCTTAAGAGCTAACTCTAAAACGCTCTAACCTTAACACTAAACACAACACCTTACCCCTAACCACAAACCACTAAACATCAACCACTAAACCTCACACTTAACCATACACTCTAACCCAAACTCATGAACCCTAAATTAAGAGCACATAGTCCGACCTTATAATGAAAATGAAACAAAATTACATGGCTTAAAGACACTGACGCAATTGTTAGTAAAGAATTTACTACAGAGTTCACAGTAAATTCCATAAAACATTTGGATAAATTAGATTGTCAAATCTTCTTTGGTTCTTTCGGTAAAGTCACGTAGAATGAGAATAAAATAATAAATTGATAAAATAAAATAACACAATAATATTCTCACGACGTTTCGGCCACAACACAAGCGGCCTTCATCAGGTGAAGGGGCGAGACTGTCTGGTAGGACAGCGCACTCCAGCGCTGTCCTACCAGATAGTCTTGCCCCTTCACCTGATGAAGGCCGCTTGTGTTGTGGCCGAAACGTCGTGAGAATATTATTGTGTTATTTTATTTTATCAATTTATTATTTTATTCTCATTCTACGTGACTTTACCGAAAGAACCAAAGAAGATGAATCATTGCAGTCACGAAAGCTTTAAATCGAAACTTAGATTGTCAAAGTTAGTTTCACAGCGATGTCACATTCATAATCGTCAGAAAGGTGAGAAGTGTTAATGCATGGCTGGGTTCACATGGAGGGGTCATCTTTGGTTCCAGGACATCTTCAAGAGTTGGGTGACTGCACCCTGCCCCTGTCTCTCCCACACAACGAGGCAATGCCGAGAGAAGATGGATTTCATTTGTTACACATTACCCGCTATGACGTACGGATCAAAAACATGGACACTCGTATAGGAAATGGAACAAAAACTGAAGGGTGCACAGACGTATGGGGAGGTGTGCCTCCTCAGAATTACACTGAGAGAAAGGAGAGGGAAACGTGGAATAGAGAAAACACCTAAGGTTAGAGACATCACGTCAACTGTTATGAGAAGCAAATGGGCTTGGGCAGGATTCGTCACGGCCGGAAAAGAAGATGTCCTGTGGTCGACACTGGTAAAGAAATGGCAGCCAAAGGAGGGACACCTATCTTGGAGATGGAGCATTTTAAACTGACATGTATACTCGGAGCTAGATGGATCGTTGCATTGCCAGGCAGTGGCACACGGCACTGGATTTGGGAGCCCCTCATCCAGCAGTGGACTGACAATGCCTGATTATATGTTTTGTGTGTCTGCACCTACAGTGAGGGAAAAAAGTATTTGATCCCCTGCTGATTTTGTACGTTTCCCCACTGACAAAGAAATGATCAGTCTATAATTTTAATGATAGGTTTATTTGAACAGTTAGAGACAGAATAACATAAAAAAATCCAGAAAAACGCATGTCAAAAATGTTATAAATTGATTTGCATTTTAATGAGGGAAATAGGTATTTGACCCCCTCTCAATCAGAAAGATTTCTGGCTCCCAGGTGTCTTTTATACAGGTAACGAGCTGAGATTAGGAGCACACTCTTAAAGGGAGTACTCCTAATCTCAGCTTGTTATCTGTATAAAAGACACCTGTCCACAGAAGCAATCAATCAATCAGATTCCAAACTCTCCACCATGGCCAAGACCAAAAAGCTCTCCAAGGATATCAGGGACAAGATTGTAGACCTACACAAGGCTGGAATGGGCTACAAGACCATTGCCAAACAGCTCGGTGAGAAGGTGACAACAGTTGGTGCGATTATTCGCAAATGGAAGAAACACAAAATAACTGTCAATCCCCCTCGGCCTGGGGCTCCATGCAAGATCTCACCTCGTGGAGTTGCAATGATCATGAGAACGGTGAGGAATCAGCCCAGAACTACACGGGAGGATCTTGTCAATGATCTCAAGGCAGCTGGGACCATAGTCACCAAGAAAACAATTGGTAACACACTATGCCGTGAAGGACTGAAATCATGCAGCGCCCGCAAGATCCCCCTGCTCAAGAAAGAAGATATACATGCCCGTCTGACGTTTGGCAATGAACATCTGAATGATTCAGAGGACAACTGGGTGAAAGTGTTGTGGTCAGATGAGACCAAAATGGAGCTCTTTGGCATCAAAGAGCTCCTATGACCCCAAGAACACCATCCCCACCGTCAAACATGGAGGTGGAAACATTATGCTTTGGGGGTGTATTTCTGCTAAGGGGACAAGACAACTTCACCGCATCAAAGGGACGATGGACGGGGCCATGTACCGTCAAATCTTGGGTGAGAACCTCCTTCCCTCAGCCAGGACATTTAAAATGGGTCGTGGATGGGTATTCCAGCATGACAATGACCCAAAACACACGGCCAAGGCAACAAAGGATTGGCTCAAGAAGAAGCACATTAAGGTCCTGGAGTGGCCTAGCCAGTCTCCAGACCTTAATCCCATAGAAAATCTGTGGAGGGAGCTGAAGGTTCGAGTTGCCAAACGTCAGCCTCGAAACCTTAATGACTTGGAGAATATCTGCAAAGAGGAGTGGGACAAAATCCCGCCTGAGATGTGTGCAAATCTGGTGGCCAACTACAAGAAACGTCTGACCTCTGTAATTGCCAACAAGGGTATTGCCACCAAGTACTAAGTCATGTTTTGCAGAGGGGTCAAATACTTATTTCCCTCATTAAAATGCAAATCAATTTATAACATTTTTGACATGCGTTTTTCTGGATTTTTGTTGTTATTCTGTCTCTCACTGTTCAAATAAACCTACCATTAAAATTATAGACTGATCATTTCTTTGTCAGTGGGCAAACGTACAAAATCAGCAGGGGATCAAATACTTGTTTCCCTCACTGTAGCCTCATACAAACATCGGAGTGTGTATACAATGTGTATGTCATGTATAGTAGCTTCTAGGTTTGATTGAGTCGACCGAGAAGTTGCCCAGTCCCACACATCATTCAAAGAGCAGTGCTGAGAATGCAGTGACGCGATCATTGGAGAAGCTGTCCATGACGGACCTCGATGACATCAAAGCAAAGATCAAGGATCTGCAAAGGAAACGCCATCAAAAAGTGAGAGTGAGGGTGGAGGTGAAATTGGTATTGGTGATGATGATGGTGTATGTATGTTGAACTTTTTTGCACTGTATGTAGCCAACCGTGCTAATCCGTGGTAATTATGGTGATGGCGATTATGGTGATGACGATGGTGGTGGTGATGTTGATGTTAGTGGTGGTGAATGTGATAGTTATGGTGGTGATGATGATGATGCTGATAATGATGGTGGTGTTGGTTATGATGGTAGTAGTGATGGAGGTGGTAATAGAAATGGTGATTGATGGTAGTGACGGGTTTATTGATGATGATGATGATAATTTCACCTTCATCCAAATTGTCGTAGATGTCAGAGTCCCTGCAATAAAAAACAGGAAGGCCAGTTTGTACTTGTCCATAACGCCCAATCCCACAGAGAGTTTGCTTGTCTGACTCCCCTTCAATCTCAGTGAGTATCTCCTTGTCTGACTCCCCTTCAATCCCAGTGAGTATCTCCTTGTCTGACTCCCCTTCAACCCCACAGAGAGTTTCCTTGTCTGACTCCCCTTCAATCCCACTGAGTATCTCCTTGTCTGACTCCCCTTCAATCCCAGTGAGTATCTCCTTGTCTGACTGCCCTTCAATCCCAGTGAGTATCTCCTTGTCTGACTCCCCTTCAACCCCAGTGAGTGTCTCCTTGTCTGACTCCCCTTCAATCCCACTGAGTATCTCCTTGTCTGACTCCCCTTCAATCCCAGTGAGTATCTCCTTGTATGACTCCCCTTCCACCCCAGTGTCTCCTTGTCTGACTCCCCTTCAATCCCACTGAGTATCTCCTTGTCTGACTCCCCTTCAATCCCAGTGAGTGTCTCCTTATCTGACTCCCCTTCAATCCCAGTGAGTGTCTCCTTGTCTGACTCCCCTTCAATCCCAGTGAGTATCTCCTTGTCTGACTCCCCTTCAATCCCAGTGAGTATCTCCTTGCCTGACTCCCCTTCAATCCCAGTGAGTATCTCCTTGTCTGACTCCCCTTCAATCCCAGTGAGTATCTCCTTGTCTGACTCCCCTTCAATCCCAGTGAGAGTGTCACCTTGTCTGACTCCCCTTCAATCCCAGTGAGTATCTCCTTGTCTGACTCCTATTCAATCCCAGTGAGTATCTCCTTGTCTGACTCCCCTTCAACCCCAGTGAGTGTCTCCTTGTCTGACTCCCCTTCAATCCCACTGAGTATCTCTTTGTCTGACTCCCCTTCAATCCCAGTGAGTATCTCCTTGTCTGACTCCCCTTCCACCCCAGTGTCTCCTTGTCTGACTCCCCTTCAATCCCACTGAGTATCTCCTTGTCTGACTCCCCTTCAATCCCAGTGAGTGTCTCCTTATCTGACTCGCCTTCAATCCCAGTGAGTGTCTCCTTGTCTGACTCCCCTTCAATCCCAGTGAGAGTGTCTCCTTGTCTGTCTCCCCTTCAATCCCAGTGAGTATCTCCTTGTCTGAATCCCCTTCAATCCCAGTGAGTATCTCCTTGTCTGACTCCCCTTCAATCCCAGTGAGTATCTCCTTGTCTGACTCCCCTTCAATCCCAGTGAGTATCTCCTTGTCTGACTCCCCTTCAATCCCAGTGAGAGTGTCTCCTTGTCTGACTCCCCTTCAATCCCACTGAGTATCTCCTTGTCTGACTCCCTTTCAATCCCAGTGAGTATCTCCTTGTCTGACTCCCCTTCAATCTCAGTGAGTATCTCCTTGTCTGACTCCCCTTCAATCCCAGTGAGTATCTCCTTGTCTGACTCCCCTTCAACCCCACAGAGAGTTTCCTTGTCTGACTCCCCTTCAATCCCACTGAGTATCTCCTTGTCTGACTCCCCTTCAATCCCAGTGAGTATCTCCTTGTCTGACTCCCCTTCAATCCCAGTGAGTATCTCCTTGTCTGACTCCCCTTCAACCCCAGTGAGTGTCTCCTTGTCTGACTCCCCTTCAATCCCACTGAGTATCTCCTTGTCTGACTCCCCTTCAATCCCAGTGAGTATCTCCTTGTATGACTCCCCTTCCACCCCAGTGTCTCCTTGTCTGACTCCCCTTCAATCCCACTGAGTATCTCCTTGTCTGACTCCCCTTCAATCCCAGTGAGTGTCTCCTTATCTGACTCCCCTTCAATCCCAGTGAGTGTCTCCTTGTCTGACTCCCCTTCAATCCCAGTGAGAGTGTCTCCTTGTCTGTCTCCCCTTCAATCCCAGTGAGTATCTCCTTGTCTGACTCCCCTTCAATCCCAGTGAGTATCTCCTTGTCTGACTCCCCTTCAATCCCAGTGAGTATCTCCTTGTCTGACTCCCCTTCAATCCCAGTGAGTATCTCCTTGTCTGACTCCCCTTCAATCCCAGTGAGAGTGTCTCCTTGTCTGACTCCCCTTCAATCCCAGTGAGTATCTCCTTGTCTGACTCCTATTCAATCCCAGTGAGTATCTCCTTGTCTGACTCCCCTTCAACCCCAGTGAGTGTCTCCTTGTCTGACTCCCCTTCAATCCCACTGAGTATCTCCTTGTCTGACTCCCCTTCAATCCCAGTGAGTATCTCCTTGTCTGACTCCCCTTCCACCCCAGTGTCTCCTTGTCTGACTCCCCTTCAATCCCACTGAGTATCTCCTTGTCTGACTCCCCTTCAATCCCAGTGAGTGTCTCCTTATCTGACTCCCCTTCAATCCCAGTGAGTGTCTCCTTGTCTGACTCCCCTTTAATCCCAGTGAGAGTGTCTCCTTGTCTGTCTCCCCTTCAATCCCAGTGAGTATCTCCTTGTCTGAATCCCCTTCAATCCCAGTGAGTATCTCCTTGTCTGACTCCCCTTCAATCCCAGTGAGTATCTCCTTGTCTGACTCCCCTTCAATCCCAGTGAGTATCTCCTTGTCTGACTCCCCTTCAATTCCAGTGAGTGTGTCTCCTTGTCTGTCTCCCCTTCAATCCCAGTGAGTATCTCCTTGTCTGACTCCCCTTCAATCCCAGTGAGTATCTCCTTGTCTGACTCCCCTTCAATCCCAGTGAGTATCTCCTTGTCTGACTCCCCTTCAATCCCAGTGAGAGTGTCTCCTTGTCTGACTCCCCTTCAATCCCAGTGAGTGTCTCCTTGTCTGACTCCCCTTCAATCCCAGTGAAAGTGTCTCCTTGTCTGTCTCCCCTTCAATCCCAGTGAGTATCTCCTTGTCTGACTCCCTTTCAATCCCAGTGAGTATCTCCTTGTCTGACTCCCCTTCAATCCCAGTGAGTATCTCCTTGTCTGACTCCCCTTCAATCCCAGTGAGTATCTCCTTGTCTGACTCCCTTTCAATCCCAGTGAGAGTGTCTCCTTGTCTGACTCCCCTTCAATCCCAGTGAGTATCTCCTTGTCTGACTCCCATTCAATCCCAGTGAGTATCTCCTTGTCTGACTCCCCTTCAACCCCAGTGAGTGTCTCCTTGTCTGACTCCCCTTCAATCCCACTGAGTATCTCCTTGTCTGACTCCCCTTCAATCCCAGTGAGTATCTCCTTGTCTGACTCCCCTTCCACCCCAGTGTCTCCTTGTCTGACTCCCCTTCAATCCCACTGAGTATCTACTTGTCTGACTCCCCTTCAATCCCAGTGAGTGTCTCCTTATCTGACTCCCCTTCAATCCCAGTGAGTGTCTCCTTGTCTGACTCCCCTTCAATCCCAGTGAGAGTGTCTCCTTGTCTGTCTCCCCTTCAATCCCAGTGAGTATCTCCTTGTCTGAATCCCCTTCAATCCCAGTGAGTATCTCCTTGTCTGACTCCCCTTCAATCCCAGTGAGTATCTCCTTGTCTGACTCCCATTCAATCCCAGTGAGTATCTCCTTGTCTGACTCCCCTTCAACCCCAGTGAGTGTCTCCTTGTCTGACTCCCCTTCAATCCCATTGAGTATCTCCTTGTCTGACTCCCCTTCAATCCCAGTGAGTATCTCCTTGTCTGAATCCCCTTCCACCCCAGTGTCTCCTTGTCTGACTCCCCTTCAATCCCACTGAGTATCTCCTTGTCTGACTCCCCTTCCATCCCAGTGAGTGTCTCCTTATCTGACTCCCCTTCAATCCCAGTGAGTGTCCTCCTTGTCTGACTCCCCTTCAATCCCAGTGAGAGTGTCTCCTTGTCTGTCTCCCCTTCAATCCCAGTGAGTGTCTCCTTGTCTGACTCCCCTTCAATCCCACTGAGTATCTCCTTGTCTGACTCCCCTTCAATCCCAGTGAGTATCTCCTTGTCTGACTCCCCTTCCACCCCAGTGTCTCCTTGTCTGACTCCCCTTCAATCCCACTGAGTATCTCCTTGTCTGACTCCCCTTCAATCCCAGTGAGTATCTCCTTATCTGACTCCCCTTCAATCCCAGTGAGTGTCTCCTTGTCTGACTCCCCTTCAATCCCAGTGAAAGTGTCTCCTTGTCTGTCTCCCCTTCAATCCCAGTGAGTATCTCCTTGTCTGACTCCCTTTCAATCCCAGTGAGTATCTCCTTGTCTGACTCCCCTTCAATCCCAGTGAGTATCTCCTTGTCTGACTCCCCTTCAATCCCAGTGAGTATCTCCTTGTCTGACTCCCTTTCAATCCCAGTGAGAGTGTCTCCTTGTCTGACTCCCCTTCAATCCCAGTGAGTATCTCCTTGTCTGACTCCCATTCAATCCCAGTGAGTATCTCCTTGTCTGACTCCCCTTCAACCCCAGTGAGTGTCTCCTTGTCTGACTCCCCTTCAATCCCACTGAGTATCTCCTTGTCTGACTCCCCTTCAATCCCAGTGAGTATCTCCTTGTCTGACTCCCCTTCCACCCCAGTGTCTCCTTGTCTGACTCCCCTTCAATCCCACTGAGTATCTACTTGTCTGACTCCCCTTCAATCCCAGTGAGTGTCTCCTTATCTGACTCCCCTTCAATCCCAGTGAGTGTCTCCTTGTCTGACTCCCCTTCAATCCCAGTGAGAGTGTCTCCTTGTCTGTCTCCCCTTCAATCCCAGTGAGTATCTCCTTGTCTGAATCCCCTTCAATCCCAGTGAGTATCTCCTTGTCTGACTCCCCTTCAATCCCAGTGAGTATCTCCTTGTCTGACTCCCATTCAATCCCAGTGAGTATCTCCTTGTCTGACTCCCCTTCAACCCCAGTGAGTGTCTCCTTGTCTGACTCCCCTTCAATCCCATTGAGTATCTCCTTGTCTGACTCCCCTTCAATCCCAGTGAGTATCTCCTTGTCTGAATCCCCTTCCACCCCAGTGTCTCCTTGTCTGACTCCCCTTCAATCCCACTGAGTATCTCCTTGTCTGACTCCCCTTCCATCCCAGTGAGTGTCTCCTTATCTGACTCCCCTTCAATCCCAGTGAGTGTCTCCTTGTCTGACTCCCCTTCAATCCCAGTGAGAGTGTCTCCTTGTCTGTCTCCCCTTCAATCCCAGTGAGTGTCTCCTTGTCTGACTCCCCTTCAATCCCACTGAGTATCTCCTTGTCTGACTCCCCTTCAATCCCAGTGAGTATCTCCGTGTCTGACTCCCCCTTCCACCCCAGTGTCTCCTTGTCTGACTCCCCTTCAATCCCACTGAGTATCTCCTTGTCTGACTCCCCTTCAATCCCAGTGAGTATCTCCTTATCTGACTCCCCTTCAATCCCAGTGAGTGTCTCCTTGTCTGACTCCCCTTCAATCCCAGTGAGAGTGTCTCCTTGTCTGTCTCCCCTTCAATCCCAGTGAGTATCTCCTTGTCTGACTCCCCTTCAATCCCAGTGAGAGTGTCTCCTTGTCTGACTCCCCTTCAATCCCACTGACTATCTCCTTGTCTGACTCCCCTTCAATCCCAGTGAGTGTCTCCTTATCTGACTCCCCTTCAATCCCAGTGAGTGTCTCCTTGTCTGACTCCCCTTCAATCCCAGTGAGTATCTCCTTGTCTGACTCCCCTTCAATCCCAGTGAGAGTGTCTCCTTGTCTGACTCCCCTTCAATCCCACTGACTATCTCCTTGTCTGACTCCCCTTCAATCCCAGTGAGTGTCTCCTTATCTGACTCCCCTTCAATCCCAGTGAGTGTCTCCTTGTCTGACTCCCCTTCAATCCCAGTGAGAGTGTCTCCTTGTCTGTCTCCCCTTCAATCCCAGTGAGTATCTCCTTGTCTGACTCCCTTTCAATCCCAGTGAGTATCTCCTTGTCCGACTCCCCTTCAATCCCAGTGAGTATCTCCTTGTCTGACTCCCCTTCAATCCCAGTGAGTATCTCCTTGTCTGAATCCCCTTCCACCCCAGTGTCTCCTTGTCTGACTCCCCTTCAATCCCACTGAGTATCTCCTTGTCTGACTCCCCTTCAATCCCAGTGAGTGTCTCCTTATCTGACTCCCCTTCAATCCCAGTGAGTGTCTCCCTGTCTGACTCCCCTTCAATCCCAGTGAGAGTGTCTCCTTGTCTGTCTCCCCTTCAATCCCAGTGAGTATCTCCTTGTCTGACTCCCCTTCAATCCCAGTGAGTATCTCCTTGTCTGACTCCCCTTCAATCCCAGTGAGTATCTCCTTGTCTGACTCCCCTTCAATCCCAGTGAGTATCTCCTTGTCTGACTCCCCTTCAATCCCAGTGAGTGTCTCCTTGTCTGACTCCCCTTCAATCCCAGTGAGTATCTCCTTGTCTGACTCCCCTTCAATCCCAGTGAGTATCTCCTTGTCTGACTCCCCTTCAATCCCAGTGAGAGTGTCTCCTTGTCTGACTCCCCTTCAATCCCAGTGAGTGTCTCCTTGTCTGACTCCCCTTCAATCCCAGTGAGTATCTCCTTATCTGACTCCCCTTCAATCCCAGTGAGTGTCTCCTTGTCTGACTCCCCTTCAATCCCAGTGAGTGTCTCCTTGTCTGACTCCCCTTCAATCCCAGTGAGTGTCTCCTTGTCTGACTCCCCTTCAATCCCAGTGAGTGTCTCCTTGTCTGACTCCCCTTCAATCCCAGTGAGTATCTCCTCGTCTGACTCCCCTTCAATCCCAGTATCTCCTTGTCTGACTCCTCTTCAATCCCAGTGAGAGTGTCTCCTTGTCTGACTCCCCTTCAATCCCAGTGAGTACTCTTTGTCTGACTCCCCTTCAATCCAAGTGAGTATCTCCTCGTCTGACTCTCCTTCAATCCCAGTATCTCCTTGTCTGACTCCTCTTCAATCCCAGTGAGAGTGTCTCCTTGTCTGACTCCCCTTCAATCCCAGTGAGTATCTCTTTGTCTGACTCCCCTTCAATCCAAGTGAGAGTGTCTCCTTATCTGACTCCCCTTCAATCCCAGTGAGTGTCTCCTTGTCTGACTCCCCTTCAATCCCAGTGAGAGTGTCTCCTTGTCTGTCTCCCCTTCAATCCCAGTGAGTATCTCCTTGTCTGACTCCCCTTCAATCCCAGTGAGTGTCTCCTTGTCTGACTCCCCTTCAATCCCAGTGAGTGTCTCCTTGTCTGACTCCCCTTCAATCCCAGTATCTCCTTGTCTGACTCCTCTTCAATCCCAGTGAGAGTGTCTCCTTGTCTGACTCCCCTTCAATCCCAGTGAGTATCTCTTTGTCTGACTCCCCTTCAATCCAAGTGAGAGTGTCTCCTTATCTGACTCCCCTTCAATCCCAGTGAGTGTCTCCTTGTCTGACTCCCCTTCAATCCCAGTGAGAGTGTCTCCTTGTCTGTCTCCCCTTCAATCCCAGTGAGTATCTCCTTGTCTGACTCCCCTTCAATCCCAGTGAGAGTGTCTCCTTGTCTGACTCCCCTTCAATCCCAGTGAGTGTCTCCTTGTCTGACTCCCCTTCAATCCCAGTATCTCCTTGTCTGACTCCCCTTCAATCCCAGTGAGTATCTCCTTGTCTGACTCCCCTTCAATCCCAGTGAGTGTCTCCTTGTCTGACTCCCCTTCAATCCCAGTGAGTGTCTCCTTGTCTGACTGACCTTCAATCCCAGTGAGTATCTCCTCGTCTGACTCCCCTTCAATCCCAGTATCTCCTTGTCTGACTCCTCTTCAATCCCAGTGAGTGTCTCCTTGTCTGACTCCCCTTCAATCCCAGTATCTCCTTGTCTGACTCCTCTTCAATCCCAGTGAGAGTGTCTCCTTGTCTGACTCCCCTTCAATCCCAGTGAGTATCTCTTTGTCTGACTCCCCTTCAATCCAAGTGAGAGTGTCTCCTTATCTGACTCCCCTTCAATCCCAGTGAGTGTCTCCTTGTCTGACTCCCCTTCAATCCCAGTGAGAGTGTCTCCTTGTCTGTCTCCCCTTCAATCCCAGTGAGTATCTCCTTGTCTGACTCCCCTTCAATCCCAGTGAGTGTCTCCTTGTCTGACTCCCCTTCAATCCCAGTGAGTGTCTCCTTGTCTGACTCCCCTTCAATCCCAGTATCTCCTTGTCTGACTCCTCTTCAATCCCAGTGAGAGTGTCTCCTTGTCTGACTCCCCTTCAATCCCAGTGAGTATCTCTTTGTCTGACTCCCCTTCAATCCAAGTGAGAGTGTCTCCTTATCTGACTCCCCTTCAATCCCAGTGAGTGTCTCCTTGTCTGACTCCCCTTCAATCCCAGTGAGAGTGTCTCCTTGTCTGTCTCCCCTTCAATCCCAGTGAGTATCTCCTTGTCTGACTCCCCTTCAATCCCAGTGAGAGTGTCTCCTTGTCTGACTCCCCTTCAATCCCAGTGAGTGTCTCCTTGTCTGACTCCCCTTCAATCCCAGTATCTCCTTGTCTGACTCCCCTTCAATCCCAGTGAGTATCTCCTTGTCTGACTCCCCTTCAATCCCAGTGAGTGTCTCCTTGTCTGACTCCCCTTCAATCCCAGTGAGTGTCTCCTTGTCTGACTGACCTTCAATCCCAGTGAGTATCTCCTCGTCTGACTCCCCTTCAATCCCAGTATCTCCTTGTCTGACTCCTCTTCAATCCCAGTGAGTGTCTCCTTGTCTGACTCCCCTTCAATCCCAGTATCTCCTTGTCTGACTCCTCTTCAATCCCAGTGAGAGTGTCTCCTTGTCTGACTCCCCTTCAATCCTAGTGAGTATATCTTTGTCTGACTCCCCTTCAATCCAAGTGAGAGTGTCTCCTTGTCTGACTCCCCTTCAATCCCATTAAGAGTGTCTCCTTGTATCAAGTGAAACTGAGCAGCCTCGAGGGCTGTGTTTGTTTGTGATTGTTGTGGTCGTATTAACATTGGTTATAGTTATTGTATCCATGGTTGCAGTTATTGTATCGATGGTGGTTGTGATGGTGCTTTTGGTTGCTGCTGCGTTTATGTCTGGTCATTGTGGATGCGCTGCTTGTAGCGATTGTGGTTGCTTTGGTTGTGGTTGTTGTGCTTCTCACTCTTGGTCCGGTTGAGATAAATGCTCTCTGGGAATATACCCATCTGGAGACACGGAAACACAGGGTCAACGTTGAGGTACTGCCTCTGCTTGATTGCTTGTGATTACTCGTAATTGCGTATGATTTCTCGTGGCTTCATGCACTTAAACGTGATTTGTGTCAAACTTCATCACTCATTTCCGCACTTCGGGAAACTCTGCTGTGGTTCAACCGCAACTGCCAAACAGCAGCCTCTTCTGAAGATTTTTGCCTGTGCTGAATAAATGCTGCCAAATTAATTCACTCCCAGAAGGCCATGCGGCTGACGAGATGTGTAAAGAACGCCCCATGTTTTTGTCATGCGGAGTGACGGACATGGAAAGCGGACTCAGCCCTGTATGTGCATCGGTCATGGTGCGTATATTCTCCACAGCGACGCTACTTGGGGTCACTTTGACTCTCTCAGTGACAGAGAGTTAGTGTCACTGTCTCTTCCTTTGCTGAATACCAATCACTCGCAACGACCGCAAGTGTGTCCTCAAGCAAGCAGCACTTGTGTGGTTGCTCGAGTGTTGGTCGTGGTTACGTGTGGTTATTCGCGATTCTTTGTGATTGCTTGTGGTGGCGTGCATTTGTTCGTGGTTGCGTGTGATTGCATGCTCACATTTTCCCAGGCGGTTGCGGCACAGTGCCCGCATCTCATCCGTGTTTTGCACGAGGTCAAAGGTGTCGCCTTTTGATCCCGAGAGGTCGAGGCGCCCCAAGGGTCGGAGGTCACGGAGCAGCGAGACCACGGAGAGTGTGGGGAGGTCGCCAGAAAGCTGCAACCACAACCACCACAACTGTAACCACCACAACAACTATTATAATCACCACACGATCCACTATAACCACAACAATCACTATAATCACCAGCATCACAACTACTATAACTACCACAACAACAAACGCCGATCACCACTAAGTGGTGGGTCGTGATGTCACCACGGCGCTTGTGCCACGCCAGGTGCACTCCAAGGCCACGTGAAGTGTAAAAGGCTCACTGACAGGAGGTCACGGGACAGATCCAGTTGCCACGGGTTGACTGAGATGTCTGACAGATTCACCACCTGTGCCCCCTACTTTGCCAACACGCTGCACTGCACTCCATTCGTTGTTGTGTCGCTGTAGCTGGAGGGCAACTGCCTCCAATTTCCCAGAAGCGTCTGTCACAACCCTCCTACATAGAGGCCAATCTTGACACCGTTTCGTTACCAGTCTTCGGCAAGTCCGCTCAGCTCCACATCCTCTCAGTCCATCTCTTCTCCAGCCCATGCCATGCCTGTTCAGCCCCTCTATCTGGCCAAACACAAGTTGCTTGAGCATGTGGTGGCTCGGCATGTGGGCTACATGATCCAGCCAATGCAGCCTCACCTGCCGGAGCTCACTGACGGGAATTTGTTCAGATCTTTCAAGAATTTGTGAGCTCCTCACACAATGCAGCCTGGTTAAACCCAAGATGGATCATACGCAGGCCAGCCTACGTTTCTAATTGCCGCAGCTGTTCCATTAGAGGTTTCAACGTTGTGCAAGTATAGCGAAGGGAGGGCATAACTGTCCGAGAAGACCTGGAGCTTCGTGTGGAGTGACATACTCGGTAGATTCCACACAACGTTACACAGCTGATGAAAGATAATGCTGCTCTGCTGATTCAGAGTGACACCTCTGCTGCCAAAGTGGAGTTGGTTATAAACACACTGCCCACGTAAGGAAAACATTATACACTCTCCGCAACTGCCCCATCGCTCATTGGGAGTTGAGGGGGTGGATTATTGGATGTCACAAAATACCCAAGCAGGTGCTTAGTTTTGGTGCGACTGATGGTAAGGCCCCACCTTTTAGTGGAACACTCCAGGTCCAGCAGCAGAACCTCCAACTCCTTCTCAGAGTGGCAGTAATCACCAGATGATCAGCATACAAAACATGGTATGCTGATGAACATGGTATGCCCGGGTGGGGCCATCCCTTGACCCCACCCGGGCATCGATCAGCCTCCCATTGTACAGCGAGGGAAAAAAGTATTTGATCCCCTGCTGATTTTGTACGTTGCCCACTGACAAAGAAATGATCAGTCTATAATTTTAATGGTATGTTTATTTGAACAGTGAGAGACAGAATAACAACAAAATAAAGAAAAACGCATGTCAAAAATGTTATAAATTGATTTGCATTTTAATGAAGGAAATAAGAATTTTACCCCCTCTCAATCAGAAAGATTTATGGCTCCCAGGTGTCTTTTATACAGGTAACGAGCTGAGATTAGGAGCACACTCTTAAAGGGAGTGCTCCTAATGTCAGCTTGTTACCTGCATAAAAGACGCCTGTCCACAGAAGCAATCAATCAATCAGATTCCAAACTCTCCACCCTGGCCAAGATCAAAAAGCTCTCCAAGGATGTCAGGGACAAGATTGTAGACCTACACAAGACTGGAATGGGCTACAAGACCATTGCCAAGCAGCTTGGTGAGAAGGTGACATTTGGTGCGATTATTCACAAATGGAAGAAACACAAAAGAACTGTCAATCTCCCTCGGCCTGGGGCTCCATGCAAGATCTCACCTCGTGGAGTTGCAATGATCATGGGAACGATGAGGAATCAGCCCAGAACTACACGGGAGGATGTTGTCAATGATCTCAAGGCAGCTGGGACCATAGTCACCAAGAAAACAATTGGTAACACACTACGCCGTGAAGGACTGAAATCTTGCAGCGCCCGCAAGGTCCCCCTGCTCAAGAAAGCACATATACATGCCCGTCTGAAGTTTGGCAATGAACATCTGAATGATTCAGAGGACAACTGGGTGAAAGTGTTGTGGTCAGATGAGACCAAAATGGAGCTCTTTGGCATCAACTCAACTCACCGTGTTTGGAGGAGGAAGAATGCTGCCTATGACCCCAAGAACACCATCCCCACCGTCAAACATGGAGGTGGAAACATTATGCTTTGGGGGTGTTTTTCTGCTAAGGGGACAGGACAACTTCACCGCATCAAAGGGGCGATGGATGGGGCCATGTACCGTCAAATCTTGGGTGAGAACCTCCTTCCCTCAGCCAGGGCATTGAAAATGGGTTGTGGATGGGTATTCCAGCATGACTGACCCAAAACACACGGCCAAGGCAACAAAAGAGTGGCTCAAGAAGAAGCACATTAAGGTCCTGGAGTGGCCTAGCCAGTCTCCAGACCTTAATCCCATAGAAAATCTGTGGAGGGAGCTGAAGGTTCGAGTTGCCAAACGTCAGCCTCGAAACCTTAATGACTTGGAGAATATCTGCAAAGAGGAGTGGGACAAAATCCCGTCTGAGATGTGTGCAAACCAGGTGGCCAACTACAAGAAACGTCTGACCTCTGTAATTGCCAAGAAGGGTTTTGCCACCAAGTACTAAGTCATGTTTTGCAGAGGGGTCAAGTACTTATTTCCCTCATTAAAATGCAAATACATTTATAACATTTTTTACATGCGTTTTTCTGGATTTGTTTGTTGTTATTCTGTCTCTCACTGTTCAAATAAACCTACCATTTAAATTATAGACTGATCATTTCTTTGTCAGTGGGCAAACGTACAAAATCAGCAGAGGATCAAATACTTTTTTCCCTCACTGTATCTCTACCAGATGGAAATTCCACTAGTACAGCCATGGGAAGTTTCTCGAACTACGTGGTCGAAGATGTTTCATAATGTGGGAACCAGAGTAGATCCATGTCACATCCCAAGGTGAACAAGGAATGGCTCCGACTCCTGGCCATGCGGCTTTTAATAACAACTCGCAACCACACCTGGTATACGGGGACGGTCGTGGCGAGGATGGTGGTGATGGTGGTAGGGAATTATTTTAAGAACTTAAGAATAGTTTCATGCTCTTTAAATGGAATTTTTTTAAATGTTATGCTTTCTAAAATATTGTTTGCTGTATTATTTTGTGTGTTTGATGTAATGGTTCCTGGTATGGCAGATTTATTTCAGAAAGATACCAGAGAACAATTAAAAATAAAATGTACTTGACTATCACCTTAAACTTTTTCCGGGCCTCCCTCTCTTCCCGCTCTCTTATTTTTCTCATCTTCTCTTCTGCCTTCTTGTCTTCCTTCCTGCAGTAGCAGCAACGTCATCACATCTCATCTCACAGTGGCGACACTCGCACCAAGAACAGCCTCGGTTCGATTCCCATCTCAGGTGTCTGTATGTGTAGCCTGTTCTGCAGAGTGTTTGTGGCAGTGGGGAGCGGTGGTGCAGCAATTAGCGTGCTGCACTATAAACCCGGCGACACGAATTCGATTCCCACCTCACGGCAAACACCAGTGACAATTATCTGAACCGGTCCTCGGCCTACCCGAGGTCGACAAAGGTGGTCGGGCATGGTGCGGGTTACCCACCCCCTCGTGTGCCGTGCCAGCCTTCATAGGTGCTATTTGCGAACAGCACTTGCCCCAACAGTCTGTTAAGAGACTACACGGGGGATCTTTGTCTTTGTTATGAGTGTAATGTATGTATATATGTTGAACTTCTTTCACATCGTAGGTAGCCAACCGTGCTAATTGGAGGTGCGGGGGAAGGATAACTAAACACAAAAAGCAGTAATGAGTGGTGTCACCTGACTGAGAGACGCGAATCCTGAGCCTCTGTCTCCACGTCATCATACACCTCATCTACATGGAGACACGCGGAGACACAGCCACAACAACATGAACCTCGTCCACTATGAGACATGGAGAAACATGAAGATACACGGGGACACAAAGATTCATGGAGACACGAAGAAAAACAGAGACACGGGGATATGGAGAAATGAAAGCACAAAATCTAATCTTGATAATCACAGAGACTAAGAGAGACAGAGACAAAGAGAGACCAACTCGGATCATAGACACATACACAGAGAGACACTTTGAGACAAAGACACATCGAGACACAGAGACATTGGGACCTGGAGACACAGGGACAAGGAGACACTCACCGTCTTCTGGAGGGACGTCTTGATTTCTGCGAGGAGACATAAAGAAACAAAACACAGACACATTAAGGCACAGAGACACAAGAACACAGGGAGACAAGTGGACACATAAAGAAATGAAGACAGAAACACATGGAGACACAGGGACATATTGGGAAACAAGACAAGACAAAGATCCCCCATATAAATTTTGATTTAAAGCTTTCGTGACTGCAGTAATTCATATTCTTAGCTCTTTCGGTAAAGTCACGTTGAAGGGAAACAATAAAATAATAAAATATATATATAAACTATAAAAATTCTCACGACGTTTCGACCATAACACCTGATGATGACCGTTTGTGTTATGGTCAAAACGTCGTGAGAATTTTTATTGTTTCATATATATTTTATTATTTTATTGTTTCCCTTCAACGTGACTTTACCGAAAGAGCTAAGTATATCCCCCATATAGCCTGAACAGAGTTTTGGGGCAAGTGTTGTTAGCGACCACCTATGAAGGCCAACGCGGTACACAAGGGAGTGGGTGGCCAGCACCACGTCCAGACATCTTTGTCTCCCCAGTGTGGATGATTACACACTGCACCAGGTACTCATTGAGGTTGAGTCAACCTAGGGGAGGCCCAGGACCGGTTTAGATAATCGAAGAATGGAACCCGTGTCACCGGGTTTGTAGCTACTACTCCCAATATTGGAACACAGCCACAGAGTGGGACACACTGAGACACCCAGAAGCACATTGAGACACATGGACACATAGGAACACATTGAGACACAGGGACACATTGAGTGGTATGCGAGTGGTGTGTTAGTGGTGATTGATTTGTGAGTTAGCAGTAAGTAGTGAGTGAGCAGTGAGTCAACAGTGAGCAATGTGTGAGTGGTGAGTGATTGGTGTGTGAGTTGTGAACGAGCAGTGTGTGAGTGGTGAGTGAGTGCTATGTTAGTGGTGATGGAGTGGTGGGTGGTGTGGCGAGTTAGTGATGAGCAGTGAGAGAGTGGTGAGTGGATGGCGAGGAAGTAGTGAGTGATGAGTCAGTGGTGAGCAGTGAGTAGGTGAGTGGAGAAGGTGAGTGAGTCTCACTCCTCTTCCTGTTTCTTTACGCTTCTCTTCTTATCACGTCTCAGGTTGATGCCTTTGAAGATTTTCCAGGTCTTCCCCTTTCCACCACTCACAATCACAACCACCACCAGCAATGCTACCACAACTACTGCCTTCACTCAAAATCACCAACACAACAACCACCACCACTACAACCACAACCATTACCACAACAACCAGTCCATTTATCACTGTCTCCATATCCCCGTGTCCCCATGTCCCCATATCCACATTTCTCTGCATCGCCCTATCTGCTTGTCTGCATGACTCCCATGATGCTCTGTCTCCATGTCCTGTCGCCACAGCTCCGTGTCCCTTTGTCCCCTTGTCTGCATTTATCTGCATATCCGCGTCCCCATGTCAGTATGTTTTCATGTTCCTCATGTCCCTGTGTCCACATATCCCCGTGTCCCCAAGTACGCCTGTTTATTTATCACCTTGTCTCCGTGTACCCGTATCTTAGTGTCTCCGTGTCTTCATGTCTCACCTGCTGCCTGATTCTGTCTCGTCATCGTCGGCGGATGGAAACTGATCACCTATATCGTAATCATCAACAACATCATCATCAGACACCATGAAGTCATCAACACCAACAGTAGCATCAGCATCAATGCAACTGGCCTCCCGGTTACAACTCTGGGACCCTTTTTCCAATTACAGGGTCTCATGTCATCATGTCTCGCATTTGATGTCTAATTGGTGTTTGAACATCTTAACACCTGTATTCATGCCAAAAAGTGTAAAGCCTTTTTATCATTCAATGTCTCCCTGTGTCTCCCCGTGACTCTTAATGTCTCCATGTCTTGCCGTGTCTCACTTTGCTTACCGGAAGCATTTGCTCTGAAAAACAAAAACAAAAAACATTCAGTGATCATGGCGATGGTGGTGATAATGGTAATGATGGTGCTGGTTATGATGGTGGTGGAGGTTGCAATGATGGTAATAATTATGGTATAGTGATGGTGGTTGTGGTGGTGGTGGTGGTGGTGGTGATGATGATGACGATGTTCGTCTCACCTCGACTCCTCTGCCACGTCATCATAGATATCTTGGCTTAAATCCATCTCAAGATCCAGCAGAGAGGTCTCCACCAGCCCCACTACAACGACCACCACCAGTAGTACTACCATTACCACCACAACCACCACATCCACCACAACCACCACATGCACCAGGCCCACTTAAACCACCATCGCAACTACACAAGTGAGTGTTGCTTATGAGTGGTGAATAAGTGGGAAATTATGTGTGTGTGTGTTTCCTTGGCAGTGGTGAGTGGGTGACTGTGTGAATGGGTGACTATGTGAGTGAGCAGGTGGCTCTGTGGGTAACTGTGAATGGGTGACTATGTCAGTGACTATGTGAGTGAGCAGGTGGCTCTGTGGGTGACTGTGTGAATGGGTGACTATGTCAGTAACTATGTGAGTGAGCAGGTGGCTCTGTGGGTGACTGTGTGAGTGGGTGACTATGTCAGTGACTATGTGAGTGAGCAGGTGGCTCTGTGGGTAACTGTGAATGGTTGACTATGTCAGTGACTCTGTGAGTGAGCAGGTGGCTCTGTGGGTGACTGTGTGAGTGGGTGACTATGTCCGTAACTATGTGAGTGAGCAGGTGGCTCTGTGGGGGACTGTGTGAGTGGGTGACTATGTCAGTGACTATGTGAGTGAGCAAGTGGCTCTGTGGGTGACTGTGTGAGTGGGTGACTATGTCAGTGACTATGTGAGTGAGCAGGTGGCTCTGTGGGTGACTGTGTGAGTGGGTGACTATGTCAGTGACTATGTGAGTGAGCAAGTGGCTCTGTGGGTGACTGTGTGAGTGGGTGACTATGTCAGTGACTATGTGAGTGAGCAGGTGGCTCTATGGGTGACTGTGTGAGTGGGTGACTATGTCAGTGACTATGTGAGTGAGCAGGTGGCTCTGTGGGTAACTGTGAATGGGTGACTATGTCAGTGACTATGTGAGTGAGCAGGTGGCTCTGTGGGTGACTGTGTGAGTGGGTGACTATGTCAGTGACTATGTGAGTGAGCAGGTGGCTCTGTGGGTGACTGTGTGAGTGGGTGACTATGTCAGTGACTATGTGAGTGAGCAGGTGGCTCTGTGGGTGACTGTGTGAGTGGGTGACTATGTCAGTGACTATGTGAGTGAGCAGGTGGCTCTGTGGGGGACTGTGTGAGTGGGTGACTATGTCAGTGACTATGTGAGTGAGCAGGTGGCTCTGTGGGTGACTGTGTGAATGGGTGGCTGTGGGTGCTGAACGCCTCACCGCTTCCCGTCTCGTTCCTCACCACCCACTTGCCCTCGGGGGTGCCCGTGAGCAGCAGCACATTGAGGCGCTCGCCCTGATGCACGCCCAGGTCGAGGCGGCCAGACGGTGTCGCGCCGCGGCACGCCACGGCCACGTGCAGCGCCGGCGTGTCGATGCCAACCTGCAGCCGCAGTAACAGCAGCAACAGAAGCCACAGCAGCCACCACAACAGCAAGTGTCAAGTTGATGTTGTGTAACCTGGTGAGAACTCAAGAGGACATGATAGAAGAGTCTCATTGGAAAAAAGACTTGGGTTAGCAAGACTACAAAAACTAAACAAATGAAGATGATGACATGATTCTATATCAGGGGTCGGGAACCTATGGCTCGCGAGCCAGATGTGGCTCTTTTGATGATTGCATATGGCTCGCAGATAAAACAAAATATTCTCACTTGTTTTAATCCATCCATCGATTTTTCACTGCGCATGTCCTGTTCAGGGCTGCAGGAGCAATTGTCCATTATTTTAATTGGATGATACTGGCCTACGTTTGCCGTTGCTGGGTAAAACAGGTAAACGCCCCCTTTTGAATCAGTCTGAGACTGCGTCTGCTCGGTCATTAGCTCAAAGCTAACCCTTCGACGAAGAAGATGGCGAAAAGAAAAAAAGACGACGAGTATCGTACATTTCAGGACGAATGGACCGAAGAATTCGCCTTTGTGGAGAGAGCGGGTTCTGCGGTGTGTCTAATTTGCAATGACAAAATTACATCGTTGAAACGGTCGAATGTAAAGCGGCACTTCGACACGCGCCACGCTACCTTTGCATCAAAATACCCTGCGGGAGACAGCAGAAAGAAAGCGTGCCAAGAGCTTCTGAGCAGGGTGCAAGCAAGCCAGCAGCAACTCCGCGTATGGACCCGGCAAGGTGACTATAATTCGGCTAGCTTTGCTGGTTCTTTAGCAATAGTGAGGAACGGAAAACCATTCACAGATGGCGAGTATGCTAAAACGTTCATGCTGGATGTAGCCAATGAACTTTTTGATGATCTTCCGAACAAAGACAAGATAATCAAACGGATACAAGACATGCCTCTGTCGGCAAGAACTGTTCATGATCGTACCATCGTGATGGCAAACAAAGTGGAGGAAACGCAAGTGAAGGACATAAATGCAGCGCCGTTCTTTTCTCTGGCTTTGGATGAGTCAACAGACGTGAGCCATTTGTCGCAGTTCAGCGTGATTGCAAGATATGCTGTTGGTGACACACTGCGCGAAGAAAGTCTTGCTGTTCTGCCATTAAAAGGGTCCACAAGAGGTGAGGATTTATTCAAGTCTTTCATGGAGTTTGCTCAAGAAAAAAGTCTACCTATGGATAAACTTCTCTCAGTGTGTACTGATGGTGCTCCGTGTATGGTGGGGAAAAACAAAGCATTTGTGGCGCTTCTCCGTGAACATGAAAATAGACCCATCCTAAGTTTCCATTGCATTATACACCAGGAGGCACTTTGTGCTCAGATGTGTGACAGGCAGTTTGGCGAAGTGATGTCGCTGGTCATTCGTGTGATCAACTTTATTGTTGCCCGAGCCTTAAATGATCGCCAGTTTAAAACACTGCTGGATGAAGTTGTAAATAACTATCCTGGTCTGCTTTTGCACAGCAATGTGCGTTGGTTGTCAAGAGGGAAGGTGCTTAGCCGTTTTGCGGCTTGCCTGAACGAAATCCGGACTTTCCTTGAAATGAAAGGCGTCGGGCATCCTGAGCTAGCCGACACCGAGTGGCTCCTCAAGTTTTACTATCTCGTAGATCTGACTGAACATCTGAACCAGCTCAACGTGAAAATGCAAGGCATTGGAAATACAGTGTTATCCCTTCAACAAGCTGTATTTGCTTTTGAAAACAAGCTGGAGCTTTTCATCACGGATCTTGAAACAGATCGTTTACTACATTTTGAAAAACTGAGCCAATTTAAAGATGCATGCACAGCAAGTGAGCCCATTCAAAACCTTGATCTCCACCAGCTAGCTGGCTGCACATCCAGTCTCCTACAGTCCTTCAAAGCACGCTTTGGAGAATTTCGTGAGCACACTCGTCTTTTTAAGTTCATCACCCATCCAAACGAGTGTTCACTGAACACAGCCGACCTGAATTACATCCCTGGTGTCTCCGTCAGAGATTTTGAAGCAGAAGTGGCTGACCTGAAGGCCTCAGACATGTGGGTGAATAAGTTCAAGTCACTGAATGAAGATTTGGAAAGAATCACACGACAGAAAGCGGAGTTGGCGAGCAAGCACATGTGGACAGAAATGAAAAAACTCCAACCCGAAGACCAGCTGATTCTCAAAACTTGGAACGCGCTTCCTGTCACATACCACACACTGCAGCGTGTGAGTATTGCTGTATTGACCATGTTTGGATCTACGTATGCATGTGAGCAGTCATTCTCACATCTTAAAAACATCAAGTCCAACCTACGATCACGTTTAACGGATGAAAGCCTCAACGCTTGCATGAAGCTTAACCTCACCAAGTACCAACCCGACTACAAAGACATCAGCAAATCCATGCAGCACCAGAAGTCGCATTAATGGTGAGTGTTATAACAACATTATTTAAAAGAATAAATTCAGAGGCTTATTATACTGACATTTAGTTGAATTCACTTTTAAAATATATTATATGGCTCTCACTGAAATAAATTTCCAAATTTTTTGCTTTCATGGCTCTCTTAGTCAAAAAGGTTCCCGACCCCTGTTCTATATCTTCATCATCAGCATCATAATCATCGCTATCATCAGCCACATCAACATCACGTAGATTATAATCATGATGATGAGGCAGCTGCTGATGATCATGCTGCTGACGAGGCTGCTGCTGATGATGACTGACGATGATGAGACACCATCATCTGTGTCATTATCAATGAGGCATCATCAACACGAACATCAACAGTCTCATCATCAGCAAGAGCAGCAGATTATTTAGAATCATGACCATTTATCATAAACATCAACAACCACCATCATGCTGATGCTGTTGTCGCTAATGGTGGAGATGCTGATGCTGCTGCTGCTGATGATGATGATTCTAAATTTTGATTTAAAGCTTTCGTGACTGCAGTAATTCATATTCTTAGTTTTTTCGGTAAAGTCGTGAGAATTTTTTATTGTTTTATATATATTTTGTTATTTTGTTGTTTCTCTTCAACGTGACTTTACCGAAAAAACTAAGAATATAAGATGATGATTCTGTTAGTCTCACCTTGTATTTCTTCTTCATCTCCGTGTCTCTCCGTTCCCTCTCCTTGGCCTCCTTCTTTTCTCTGTCCGTGCGTTCACGCACCGTCTCCTCACTCACCACACACTCAACTTTACTCTTCACCCACCTATATGCACACCCATACACTCGCACACTCACCCGTGAACTCACTCTTGAACACATGTGTAAGTGTGACTTCCACACAAATTGGTACTTATTTTACCGACCCCAGAGGGGAGGGATGATGGGCGTGGTGCTGGCCACCCATCCCCTCGTGTTCTTTGTTAGCCATCGTGTGTCCTTGCTCATAGCACTTGCTCCAACAGTCTACTGAAGACTACATTGGGGATCTTTGTGTACCTTTTCTCCTCGAAGTCTTCATAAAAGTCTTCATACACGTCCTGCGGGAGGGAGAGGACACAAGATGACTCCGAGTGAGAGTACGCGTACACACGTACGTGCACATATGTGTATGTGGGCGTTGTTGTGTATAAGCATACGTGTGTGCACATGAGTTTATATGTACACGCATGAGTGATTCAACTGCCGTCCCGGGAGATGGGAACGGCAACCACTGGATCGCAAGTCCTGTGCAGATGCCCACCACCACCGCCACCACTGTGGTAGCAGTGGTGGTGGTGGCTGCCTTCTTGTCTCCACTAAATTCCAAACTCATCATGTTTGCTGCAAGATACATTTGTGCAGCTAACCGGTTTGGTCATCGCAGATACCGGCAACACAACAAACACTGGTGTCATGAACCCAGTGAGGGTGCGCGAGAGCGAGGGTGTAGGGAAGGGGGCGCATAGCCCCCTGTGTTACCTGCTGCTGCTCCTCAACTTCGGCGGCCGGGGCTTTGCCTCTGGTGGAATTGGCTGCGGGGGGTATGGGGAGACACAGGGAGACAAGGCGAGACAGAGAGACACGAGGATAAGGGGAGACATAACGAGACAAGGACTCGGGGAGACATTGGGAGATAGGGACCCAACGAGACAGGGAGATACGGAGACATGCGGGGAATCACAGGGAGACACCATTAATTAGCAGAGAGGAAACCCAGATGACATGAGGTGGAATGTCTGACCAGCTCAGGGAAGCTCAGCAGGTGTGAGCCTGGACAATCTCAGATGGGCAACCACCATGTATAACAGGTACTATAGGCTGCTGCTACTGTTACTGCGGAACTATGTGTGGAACAGTGACGCAGTGGTTAGCGTGATGCGCTACAAACCCAGCGATCCGAGTTTGATTCCTGCTTACGGCTCAGACTCAAAATGAGTACCTGGTGTGGTGTGTAAACATCGGCACTGGGGAGACAAAGGCAGCCAGGCGTGGTGCTGGCCACCCACCTCTTCGAGTTCTGTGCCGGCTTTCATAAGTCCTCGCAAAAAGCACTTGCCCCAACAGACTGCTAAAGGCTATACGGGGAACTTTGTATTTGTATGTGCAAGTGGGGAGCAGTGGTGCAGTCGTTAGCATGCTGCGCTACAAACTCAGAGACCCGAGTTCAATTTCCCCCCACGTCCAACATCAGAGGCAATATTTTGCTTGATTCAGTACCTCGTGCGATGTGTACGCATCACCACTGGGGAGACAAAGGCGGCAGAGGTGGTTCCGGCCACACCACCCCCTCGTGTGCCATGCCAGCTTTCAAAGGTGCTCGCTAACAGCACTTTACCCAAGAGTCAATTCAGCCAATACGGGGGATCTTTGTCTTTGTGCACATGCATGCCTCCCACGTACCAGGCACCTCCGGTCTCGGTGTGGGCAGAGGGGGTGCGGTGCCCCTGCCAGGCAGAGCTGGCCCCATAATCCAGGTTGGGGGGCCAGGCAGCTCCACGTCATCATAGTTCTCCTCCACCAGTTGCGCCCTGAGCACACAAAACACACACAAAGGTCCCCGTATGGCCCCAAAAGACTGTTGGGGCATGTGTCACACTGAGACCCACAGAATCACATAGAGGCCCATAGAGTCCCACATATTCTAACCCTAACCTGTTGTGACCCAAAAACTCCACTGCCCTGACTGGCGAGATGAAGCATACTCTACCCTCACATCGTTGGGCGGCCCTCATCCCGCAGTGGATTGACAAATGGGCAGTGTGTACGGTACTCACGTTGGGACCGTTGCCTTGGTTATGAGTGTCATGGTGACCGGGAGAGAAGGGGGACTGGCTTCCATTGCTCCTAGCAATGAGGGGGGGGGGGGGGGGGGATTACCCACAATAATGCTGTGCTGGAGAAAGAACGGCCATTCTGCATGCTTAACATGAACAGCATCATCCATAACAACATGAATAGTAGTAGCAGCAGCATCTCCACTATCAGCAGCAGAATCAACAGCAGTAGCATAAGAATCCTCAAAATCACCAGCATTATCAGCATTTATAATTATCATGAGCACCATCATCATTTGCAGAAGCAGCAGTACCACCACCATTACCACCATCAACGGTACCATCACCACCCCCATCCTCACCACCACCATAAACCACAACAACAAAGAAGGGATGGCATAACTGTGGCCAAGAATGCCCAAAGCTTTGTGTGGAGTGATAGGCCAGGTAGCTTCCACACAGCGTTACAAAGCAGGTCATTAACGATTGTAAGTAGAGGGTCAGGGACCCCAAGAGCACGAATAATAACCCAGAGCCCTAGCCTATTGATTGTATCAGACTTTAACCAGGTAAATAAGGCAAAGAAGTCCTGTTTAAATTCCCTACACCTCTGCTGCAGCAGATGGATGGAGAATATGGCATCCATGCAGGAACGCCCCAGCCTGAAACCATATTGGGGCTTTGCAAGTCTCTCCTTCCAATCCTGCAGAATCCGTCCTGTGGTCCACACAATTGTAATGATGTCAAACAGAGCAGCATGGAGACCAATACGACCCTCCCTCAGCAGTTTGCTTGGGAGATCATCTCTGACCGACGCTTATCCTGGACTTGGCGCTGTGGTCCACACAATTGTAATGTCAAACAGAGCAGCATGGAGACCAATACGACCCTCCCTCAGCAGTTTGCTTGGTAGATCATCTCTGACCGACGCTTATCCTGGACTTGGCGCTGAATCGCCTTTTCGCACTTCCTCAACAGATGGCACCTCAGACTGCCACTCACAGGGGTTCGCTACTTCTCCAAATATTTGAGGCATAGCAGCTCCAGAAGGGTCAACCCCACCTTGCCCCATGATATTATCTGAGCTGAGGAGTTTCCCTTCCCCCAATACCCCACATCACTACCATCGGCACCACCACTATCATCAACACCACAATCATTACCACCCCCACCGCTATCATCACCATCCACAACAACATTTCCACTACCCTCACCATCACCACCTCCACTGCTGCTCTTACCTCGCGTGGCCACTTGAGCACGGAATCGGCTCAGCTCCACACTTGGGGGTCGCGCCGGTTTCTTTGGCGCCTGGCCAAGCAGCAACGGCTTTGGCAGCACCTTGCGAGGGGGTGCAGGTTCCCTCAATAATCCCGCGGGACCTCCATTGGCCCCCTGTGTGACCTGAGCAGGGGAGAAGGTGTCAATGGTGGATTTTTTTTCCGGGTCCTCCGGTTTTTTCCTCCACATTTAGAATTATGCGTCTAGATTATTTGGCTGATATACATTTCCACATGATAAGCCACTTCATTGAGCTATCATTTGTGGCCAAGTCGCTTTTGAAAAAGAGCTATATAGCTCATTTGGCCTTACCTGGTAAAATAAAACATAGTTTAAAAGTTTAGTCTGTTAAAGGCTACTGGAGAAGATCTTTGTCTTTTGTGATGGTGGTAGTCTTGATGATGGTGGTGGGGAGTAGTAGTGCAGTGATTAGTATGCTGAGCTCTGAACCCAGCCACCTGAGTTCGATTCCCGCTCATGGCAGACATTGGTGATGATGATGATGTGAACCGATCCTAGGCCACCCCTAGGTCACCTCAGCTTTATATTAGTACTTGATGCAGTGTGTCAACATCGCTAGCACCACGCCCAGCCACAAGGGTGGCTGGGCGTGGTGCTAGCCACCCATTCCCTCGTATGCCGTGCTGGCCTTCATAGCTGCCTGCTAACAGCACTTGCCCCAACCCTCCGTTTTGGCAACACGAGGGGATGGTGGTCATAATGGTGTGTGGTAATCATGGTGGTGGTGGTTGTATCTGACCAGCTAGTTGTGCCTCAGGCTTGTTCTATCTGGGCCAGCCCTCTAGCTGCTACCGTAGGCGGACACCAGGCTCAACATCCCTGGTGAGCTCTGGCTGCAGTTTATGTCGTATGTTTCGATTTAAAGCTTTCGTGACTGCAAGGATTCATCTTCTTTGGTTCTTTCGGTAAATTCACGTAGAATGAGAATAAAATAATAAATTGATAAAATAAAATAACACAATATTCTCACGACGTTTCGGCCACAACACAAGCGGCCTTCATCAGGTGAAGGGACGAGACTGTCTGGTAGGACAGCGCTGGAGTGAAAAAGCCACGCTCAGATCACGACCTTTAAGCTGTGTGAGAAGAAACAAAGCGCCTTCACAAAGGAATTAGTATATAATTTAGAATTGAAATGGCTGAGTGATTAGCTTGTGAATGGTCACAGAAATGGCTATGTTAAAGTTAAAGCATACACATCCGCAGAGGCACCCCTTGACAAAGGAATTAGCATAGAATTTAGCATTGAAATAGCTAAGTTAAAGCATACACATCCGCAGAGGCACCCATTGACAAAGGAATTAGCATAGAATTTAGCATTTAAATAGCTGAGTGATTAGCTTGTAACTGGTCACAGAAATAGCTATGTTAAAGTCAGAGCATACACATCCGCAGAGGCACCCCTTGACAAAGGAATTAGCATAGAATTTAGCATTGAAATAGCTAAGTTAAAGCATACACATCCGCAGAGGCACCCCTTGACAAAGGAATTAGCATAGAATTTAGCATTGAAATAGCTGAGTGATTAGCTTGTAACTGGTCACAGAAATAGCTATGTTAAAGTCAGAGCATACACATTTACCGAGGCACCTAGTACAAATCAAACAGGAGAATTTAGCATTGAAATAACTAAACGAATTTAGCATTGAAATAACTGAGTGATTAGCTAGTGACTGGTCACAGAAATGTCTATGTTGAAGTCAAGGCATACACATCTGAGCTATTCACAGTAACTGGGTATACAATACAATATATAATGAATACTATATAGTGAACCAATAAAAAACTAAAATATAAATTACCTTAATGTTATCAATAAACTCTATATTCTCCAATCAGCTAAACTACCAACAATAAGTCGTTATATATCACAATGCTATATGGCGAAAAAATGGGTCGATTCTTACCCTCAACTTTAGCAACACGGATAGCTACAGGCCCCGTTCAGACGGACGAGTTCATCCATGGTCGGAACAGAGGAGGGGGAGAGAGACAGCTGCGAGGCGCTATTATACTCCATGTTGTAAACCATACCATTAACCGTGGTGTGAGAGGTATTAAGAGTCAATGCTGGCGAAAGAGCTGCGGTCTGAAGGTCATCGTAAAATACAATTAATTAAGAACGGAAATGGTTTAAAACATCTTTGTATATGTGAATGGCCTCATGAACGAATCACTCATGGTAGTCGGTTGGTTTGCAAAGAACCTCCGTCTTGGAGAAGTCAATGTCATGTGTTCGCGGATGCGGTCCGAGATATGTCGTTTGGTTTCTCCAATGTAGCTACTACCACAGAGGCACTTTAGTTTGTAAACGCCCGGGTACTGTATGTCTGGAACAGCATCTTTTACAGATGGAACTAAATCACGGATTTTATGTACTGTGTTGAATCGGACCTGGATCTTGTGTTTATTCAGGATTTTGGAGATCTTTTTAGTGACCCCTGCAATGTAGGGTAAGGTGATGGTTTTGAGTGGCTCCACAAGGGGATCCTTCTTCATGACTGGAGTGATGGCTTTGTGGATTGTGTAGTCGGAGTAACCATTAGCCCTGAGAGCCTGGTGTACGTGCTTGAGTTCACTGGTAATGTGTTCCTGGTCGGAAATGCATTGGGCTCTATGGTATAGAGTCTTGATGAGGGAGTTCTTCTGGGATGGATGGTGGGGTGAAGAGATGCCGCGACTCTAAGGTAATACCAACCACATTTACACTAACCTCTGCTGTTCCAACTTCTCTCAATGCAAAACGAATTCTAGCTAGAACTAGCTTCGCTCTTATCTCGGAAAAAATCAGACTTACACGCACCGAACTCGATCAGTTAGACAAAACACTCTACAAATCACACTTAACATTGACAGCAACAATGTCTACATCGGATTGGGAACATGTAGACAATATGACTACCTCTTCGGCTGCCACTATGTCGACCAAATGTAGGGACAATTTGATTTCCAAATTCAATCACCTCTCCAGCAAAAAATCGGATCCACACACCGAAAAGATAGACGTCAACAAAGTCGTAATTAATCGCAGTAACAGTTCCATTTCTGATGGTCTGAAATCCGTTTTCGCTAAACGTCTAAACTTTCCTGTCACACCGAGACACTTACCGGTTAATGATATCATTGCCCATGTCGACTTTGCACTCAAGGGCTTGAGTCACATCTCTGCAGCCGTAGCAAGATCTGAAATCGCTGCAACCCTCAAAAACGCTAAGTTGCCACCCAGCAACATCAGCAAAGACAAACGTTTTGAATTATCTCAATTAAAAAAGAGGGATGATATTGTCGTCCTCTCAGCCGACAAGGGCAATGCCACTGTCATCATGGACAAAACAGAATATAACAACAAAATTCAAAAACTACTCAACGATGGCAGCTATACAAAAATAAAAAGAGATCCCACCAACAGCCTGGTTACCAAAACGAACAAAATCATCTTTGATTCAACAGCATTAATTGATGAGATCAAACAGTTCTCGTTGAAACCCTCTGCTGCCAGACCACCAAGTTTATATGGCCTTCCAAAGATACACAAAGAAGATACACCCCTTCGTCCCATCGTCTCTACTATCAACTCCCCCACCTATAAACTGGCACGTTTTCTTGCTGATATACTGCGACCTTTCACTGGAAAACCCACCTCTGCGGTACTAAATTCGACTCACCTGGTATCGACAATCAAAGGCATTTCCCTGTCCCCAGACGACCTGCTTGTCAGTTTTGATGTGGTGTCCTTGTTCACCAAAGTCCCGGTACCTGACACTATCGCTATCATTGAAGACCTGGTTCATCAAGGACTGCATACTGATGTACCCCCCCCTGGTGAGACATTGCTTAACCAACACATACTTCACCTGGAATGGAACTTTCTACAAACAAACTGAGGGCACCCCAATGGGCTCCCCCCTATCTCCGGTTGTAGCCAACGTATTCATGGAAAAATTTGAAACTGACGCCATCCAGACTCCCACTCTACGTCTGACCTTATGGAAGAGGTACGTGGATGACACCTTTGTCATCTGGCCACATGGCCAGCCTGCTCTAGACCAATTCCACGACCACATCAATTCCATACACCCAGCCATCAGATTTACCATGGAGGTCGAAAAAGATGGCAAACTACCCTTTTTGGATGTCTTAATTAAAAGGAGACATGATGGTTCAATGAGCCACTCTGTCTACAGGAAAGCTACCCATACAAATGCTTACTTGAAACTGGATTCCCACCACCATCCATCCCAGAAGAACTCCCTCATCAAGACTCTATACCATAGAGCCCAATGCATTTCCGACCAGGAACACATTACCAGTGAACTCAAGCACGTACACCAGGCTCTCAGGACTAATGGTTACTCCGACTACACAATCCGCAAAGCCATCACTCCAGTCATGAAGAAGGATCCTCTTGTGGAGCCACTCAAAACCATCACCTTACCGTACATTGCAGGGGTCACTAAAAAGATCTCCAAAATCCTGAATAAACACAAGATCCAGGTCCGATTCAACACAGTACATAAAATCCGTGATTTAGTTCCATCTGTAAAGATGCTGTTCCAGACATACAGTACCCGGGCGTTTACAAACTAAAGTGCCTCTGTGGTAGTAGCTACATTGGAGAAACCAAACGACATATCTCGGACCGCATCCGCGAACACAAAGCAGACTTTAAACACGGTAGAACGAACTCCTCTGCCGTGGCAGATCACTGTTATAATTCAGTGGGCTCACATGACATTGACTTCTCCAAGACGGAGGTTCTTTGCAAACCAACCGGCTACCATGAGAGATTCGTTCATGAGGCCATTCACATATACAAGCACAGAGACAATTTCAACCGAGAAGATGGATTCTGGCTTAGTAACCATTGGAAAGATGTTTTAAACCATTTCCGTTCTTAATTAATTGTATTTTACGATGACCTTCAGACCGCAGCTCTTTCGCCAGCATTGACTCTTAATACCTCTCACACCACGGTTAATGGTATGGTTTACAACATGGAGTATAATAGCGCCTCGCAGCTGTCTCTCTCCCCCTCCTCTGTTCCGACCATGGATGAACTCGTCCGTCTGAACGGGGCCCGTAGCTATCCGTGTTGCTAAAGT